CAACCACGCCTCCATCGAGCTTGCGAATCTCCTGCAACACCGTGCCGTCACTGGGGTTGCTGTCGGCAAACATAGACGTATGGAGACCACTTGCAGACTCTATCTTGCCTCGAAAAACTGAAACTAGCAAGTCTCTTGGATCCGGCAAAACTGTCCTTCAAGCGCTGTTCCACCCAGAGCACCAAGCTGTGGAGGTTCTTTCCGTTCAGGAAGGAAACCTGACGAAAATTGCACAGTTCCCCCGCAACCAGCCCATCCATGTCCAACCAGTCACTCACTGGCACTTCTCGCCTCAGGTCGTGGCAAGTAGGTGACTGCAAAACGACAGGTGCAGGTCATGAACCAATGGACAAACGACCCAGGGCTGACGCCTCACTCATACGTGCGAGCCACTAGTTCACAATCACTATCTCACACTCGGTCAATGGACTAGCCAAAACCAGCAAGTGGTTGATTTAATCAAAGTCCTTGACTGTTGCTGGAAAGCCGGAAGTCACTGATCAAACATTCCACGAACCAGCCAATGTAGCGCGCATGCATTGATGTATGCATGTCTGCATTGTACGGATGTCCTGCCTGCATGCATGTATGCGTATGTGTGTGTAAGTAGGTATGTATGTAGTAAGTGAGTGAATTGTATGAACCCATGTATGTATGCATGTATGCATGTGTGTACGCAGGCATGCATGCATGGATGGCTGGATGGATACATGGGTGTATGCCTCTCTGTCTGTATGTATGCATACATCTATGCAGGCATGCCTGTGTGTGTATATGCGTGTCTGCATGTAGGTAATGTATGTGATGCAATTGAGCTTGGATGCATATATGCGCAGATGTTTGTGTGTATAACTAGGTATGTAAGTAGGTATACATGCATGTATGTATGTACGTATGTATGTATGCATGTGTGTATGCATGTGTGTGTGTGTGCGCGCATGCATGCAGGCGTGGACGGACGGATGCATGGATGTACATCTATCTGTCTGCAGGTATGCATGC